CGAGGTGTTGGTCTGCTATCTCGAGCTGCGGCCGACCAAACTCTCCAAGCTCAAAATCAGTAAATGCCACGGCTATACCGCGGCGGAGATCAAACTATTTCGGCTGTTGGTGGGGGACGTGCAGTGGGATGGCGTCGGGTCGATATTACCTTCGTATTTCCCGAACGGGGACGAATTTAGCGCGTTCACGATCAACCACAATCTGCTCAGCCACCGCCCCGGGTATGAGGAACTGAATCTGAGCGACGAAGAACGATGGCGTCGACAAAATTGGGCACATTGGGGTTGAGTATAATGGTATCTCGATGCATGCATGTATTATTTAAACCTAACGAAATAAAGGTAAGTACCGGTTTTGCGGTGGGTAGAACGCGTTCCGTATCATATCATATCTTAGAAGATTAAAATCGTTTTGCGCGCGATAACAACGAGCATTGCTCGAATTCATCTCATAATAAATTATTCACTATCGATATAGCCGGTCTTCGAGCTCGATCTCTCTGTCTCCGTCTGTGAACAGGAAAAGTCCATAACATTTTGTCAACTCCTCGCTCGGGAGCTGCACAATCGGAACAAACGGATAACCACCTTGTGGCGTCAAGGCCTCATGCGCTGAAACGGGTTATTGAGCAGGCGCAAAAATCCACCAGGATCTGAAAATCAAAAGGTCAAAGGCGTGGGTGGGTGGGAAAAGATTTCGTCAATGAGATGTCGGAGACGGCAGTCTTGATATTGCCCTGCGAGATTTGCGGGGGCGACGTGATCGTCAGGAAGGAGGACACCGTCACACGTCATTCTGCCCTCCGCAAGCTACAGGAGGTGCGCGCAACTAATATTTCTCGAGATAAACGTACACATCTTGCCTAGAGATGGATTTGCACGCGCACCTATTCCACTTTTCCGATATGCGGGAATGTCCTCGTGGATTTCAGAAGCATACGCATAAGCCAAGGCGGGTAGGTAAACACGAGGCAAAACGTTATGGGAATCGCCAAATATAACACAGTAATTCGCATTTGCTAGGATAACCCGGTGAGGTTAAAGGTTGGGGGAGACAAGGGAAGACATATAATACTATGAATACATCTGCCCTACAGGTATTTGGGCGTAGTCTGCGAATCCATGTCAGGCGAAAGACCCCACAAATTGTCTAATAAACTACTTACATGCAGTATCCGTACAAGGCCCGAACTCAAGAGTGTATCGCCGCAAGCATCCTACAGGCTCGCCAGGATCAGATTGCGAAGGCATTGGATCGAGCTGCAAGCAGCCGCCCTCAGGATCGCACACACCTCCAAATCCGGGAGTCCGGCTATGCCTCCGCTTCCACGTCCCGACCATCCTCGAGCTCGAGCTCAAGCACACCCGCAACAGCAGCAGCAAGCGTCCGCCTTCGACCTCGATCACCCTGTCTCGAGCTCGAGCACATGCAAACATCCCCAGTTTGCGCCCGCAAGCACTCCCTGCAATGCGCGCACCAACAGGCATCACACAGGCACCTGGAGCTTAGCCCGCGAGTCCGCCAATGGCGTCCAGGTCTTCGTGCACCCGCAAGCATACAAGTGCCACTACGCCCTCGAGCGCTGCGCCGAAGCACGCCGTCTCCACGCGAGCCGCCTTGTATACCCCCTCGATCCGCAGCCGCGACTCATGCCTATGCACCCCGCCGTCTCCGCGCACCCTACCGCTCTTGGCGACACGCCGCAGGCCGCGCCCACAACCCCGTAGACACCACGCAGCGCGCGTCCTCGAGCTCAAGCTCTAGCACCTGCGCAAGCGTAGTCACCCACTCCAAGCACGAAAACCGCGCGTCTTCGCTCTCCGGTCTGTACACCCCCCTCGAGCCGCAGCTGCGACGCCGCCCACGCGGTCCCGGCTTTCGCGCCCTTCTCCACCTCACCGCACGCCGCGCGCCCGCGAGCCCGCAGACACCACACACCGCGCGGGTCCCCGAGCTCGAGGGCCTGCGCACGCGTACTCACGCAAACCGTGCGCCGTCATTCTCCGTGCTGTACCCCTCTCGAGCTGCAGCCGCGACGCCGCCCGGCTTTCACGCCCTAGCCCACCACACACCACGCGCCCGCAAGCCCGCAGACACCACACAGAGTGCGTCCCCGAGCTCGGGGCCTACGCACGCGTACTCACGCGCTCCAAACACCCTCGCTCTCCGTGCTGTACACCCATTCGAGCTGCAGCCGCGACACACGCCCACGTAGCCCCGGCTCTCACGCCCTAGCGCGCCCGCGAGCCGCAGACACCACACACCGCGCGGGTCCCCGAGTTCGAGGGCCTGCGCAAGCGTACCCACCCACTCCAAGCACCCTCGCTCTCCGTGCTGTACACCCATTCGATCCGCAGCTGCGACGCCGCCCACGTAGCCCCACAATCCCGCAGACACCACACAGCGCGCGTCCTCGAGCCCGCAAGCCGCACACACCACACAGCGCGCGTCCTCGAGCTCGAGGGCCTGCGCACGCGTACTCACGCGCTCCTCGTTCTCCGTGCTGCACACCTCCTTCGAGCTGCAGCTACGACCGCAGCCCCGCAGACACCACACAGCGCGCGTCCCCGAGCTCGAGGGCCTGCGCACGCGTACTCACGCACTCCACTTCAAGCATGCAAACCGTGCGCCCTCGTTCTCCGTCTGTACACCCCCTCGATCCGCAGCCGCGACAACGTACGCATAGGCGCCCCGCCGTCTCCGCGCACGTCCCCTCCTGGCGACACGCGGGCACCTCCTCCTCGAGTCATAAACACCTCATCCCCGAGTCACAGACACCTCATTCCCGAGTCGCAAACACCAGCGTGTGAGATGAGGGATAAACGAGGAGGGGGACGCGTGCATGGACGAGTGGGGGCGCGCGCTTGAATACAAGATGGAAGGCATAGTAACGAGCGGGGCGAGAAGGAGAGGAAGCCGGAGAAGAAAATAGATGAGGGGTCTGGAAGGGAAAGATGGAGGAGGAACGAGCAGTGGGCGACAGAGGGAGTGTTCGCATGAACGAGCAGCGCGAGGAGGAAGGGGGATATGGGTGCAGAAAAATATGGACGGGAATGGGTCAGGCATGACAAAAGGTAGGATGGAGAACGCGGAGATACATTCGGTGGACATCGATGGGGGATAGATGCATGCGAGGGAGGGAGGGACGAGAGTGGGACAGGAAAGGATGCGGTTAAGTAGGAGGAACCGACGCGGGTAGGAAGGTACACGAGACGATGACGAGTGGAGGAGCGAAGACATGCAGCCGTGCACTGTGCGAGCTAGTCCTGCGTCGCCGCGTAGCGCAGGATGTGTGCGAAGAGGTCATTATCCCTGCATTTGCATCTGGGCAGCATAACGGCTGAAGGCGGCATGGCTGTAGTCTCTCTTGACAGACTCTTTATCGATTCTAGCTCGTTGCATGACTGCGGGTGGGCCGTGTAGAGACCGTCTGCGGTTGGTCTGCTGCCGGAGATCTGGAATATCCGGGAATTTCGATCCAAGTCAAGTCGCCCAGACCCATGGAACGAAAACGAAAACGATAAAGCGTCAAAGGGAATCAGTTCGTCGACACAGTACAGACGGGCAAAACAGTATGTGGCGGTGCGCTGCTTGCCACCGGCGTCCAATGCAAACAGGGATACACACATGCTATATGTTCGACGTTGAACTTCAATCTCTGTCAGCAGGATTCTCAGTGCAGGATAGCCGTATTTAATTCACCGCAGTAAGGCTCAATACGCCCGGGACAAAAAATTAAACGAATACTTGACGAAAAGTGAACGTATTCCTGCCCGTTAAATTTTAATTGGGACGCGGGGAGTCGAACCCCGGCTTGCTACTATTCAACTTATACCCAATCTGGCGATTGAATGCAGCGGTGCACCGTACATCACGTCCCATTTATTCCCCTCATTCGTTGCCTGAATTTATACCAGTGCAATTCAAGAACAGTAGCGCGGAAATGAATCTTTATCAGGCAAAATAAAACCGACTGGCGGAGTATTTCAGGTGGGACGCGGGGAGTCGAGCCCCGGCCTGCTGCTTTTCAGTACTTCGGATCAATTCATTGAATGCAGCGGTGCACCATACACCACGTCCCATTATTTCCCCTTGTTCGCAAGCCGAGAAGGTAGGAAGATTTCCGGGGGCACAATCACCAGAGTGAGGATAGTTCATTCAAGTTCAACCAGACGTCTCAGGGTAGAGTTGAATAGTTCCACGTTTGATACTCAAATTTGCAGCATTCTGAAACCTGTGTGCATCGAATTCCCCCAGCCGAAAGAAAAAGATTCAGAACGGTTGGCAAATGTGGGACGCGGGGAGTCGAACCCCGGTTTGCTGCCGTTCAATCAATCATACCTATTGAATGCAGCGGCGCACCATGCACCACGTCCCAGTTCTTACCCTTACTCGTTCCTTCCGTTTATAATAGCGGAATTTAGAAAGTTGCCGGTGACTCGGAGGAAATGAGAAACCAACAAAACAAAAAAACATGACATACGGGCACATTTATTGGGACGCGGGGAGTCGAACTCCGGCTTGCTGTTGTTCAACTAGTACCCAGTCTGACGCATTGAATGCAGCGCTGCACCATACACCACGTCCCATTTATTCCATTTGTTCGTTCCCTGGATTTACATCAACGAAATTTAAGAACTTGTGGGTGAGGAAGAACTTTCAAGATGATAACTCCTAGAAAACCAGACTCCATGGCGAAATATTAATAGGGACCCGCGCTTTGCTCGCTTCTCATATTTCTCATAGGACCTTCTCAAGGACGAACTCTAGACCAGGGAAACAAAAGGGACTTCAAGAGATATATGGGCCGCGGGGAGTCGAACCCCGCCTTGCTGCCGGTCAATAATCACCATTAGATTTCTATTATTGAATGCAACAGTGCACCGTACACCACGTCCCATTTATTCCCTTCGTTCGTTACCTGCATTTATACCAGCGCAATTCAAGAACAGCAGCGAGGAAATAAATCTTTAATAAAACCGACTGATGGAGCATTTCAGTGGGACGCGGGGAGTCGAACCCCGGCCTGCTGCTTCACAGGTGCCCAATTCATAGTTGAATGCAGCGCTGCACCATACACCACGTCCCATTATTTTCCCTAGTTCGCAAGTCGAGAAGGTAGGAAGACTTCCGGGGGTACAATCACCAGAGTGAGGATAGTTCATTCAAGTTCAGCCAGACGTCTTAGGGTAGATTGGATAGTTCCACATTGGGCTCAATTTTATGGCATTCGCAAAGTTGTTTGGCCCCTTTCCAATGCGGTCGATTGAAATCTTGAATAAAAATATAGCAGAGAGGCCGAATTGGGACGCGGGGAGTCGAACCCCGACTTGCTGCTGTTCAATACTCATTAGGGCATATTGAATGTAGCGGAGCACCGTACACCACGCCCCTTTCCTCATCTATATCTCAACGCAAATATATGCAAGACTTCTGAAGGAGTTGGCGTCGCTCGTAGTTCAACCATTCATATAATGGAATAGGTATTGTTCAGACTTCAGACCCAATCGTGAGCGCGTAAAAGAAATAATCAGAGATGAACTGTGCGTGGTTGGGGGGTTCATTTCCTTCCTTTGATTGCGTGGCCCCGCAAATAAAAATAAAAACAGAAGTGATCAACGAAAGTGGGACGCGGGGAGGCGAACCCCGACCTGCTGCTGTTCACTACTTCGGATCAATTCATTGAATGCAGCGCTGCACCGTACACCACGTCCCATTATTTTCCCTTGTTCGCAAGTCGAGAATGTAGGAAGATTTTCGGGGATAAAATCACCAGAGTGAGGGTGGTTCGTTCAAGTTCAACCAGACGTCTCAGGGTAGAGTTGAATAGTTCCACGCTTGGGACTCAAATTTACAGCATTCTGAAACTTGTGTGCATCGAATTCCCCCCAGCCGAAAGAAAAAAGATGCAAACGGTTGGCAAATGTGGGACGCGGGGAGTCGAACCCCGGCTTGCTGCTGTTCAATGTTCCTATGGTACATCGAAGGCAGCGGTGCGCCGTACACCACGTCCCATTTATTCCCCTCATTCGTTGCCTGCATTTATATCAGCGCAGCTCAAGAACAACAGCGAGGAAATAAATCCTTGCCAGACAAAATAAAACCGACTGATGGAGCATTTCAGGTGGGACGCGGGGAGTCGAACCCCGGCTTGCTGCTGTTCAATACTCTCTATGGCACATTGAAGGCAGCGGTGCGCCGTACACCATGTCCCATTTCTTACCCTTACTCGTTCCTTCCATATATAACAACGGAATTTAGAAAGTTGCCGGTGAGGAAATGAGAAACCGAAAAAAAACATGACATTTATTGGGACGCGGGGAGTCGAACCCCGGATTGCTGCTGGTCAACTAGTACCCAGTCTGACGCATTGAATGCAGCGGTGCACCGTACACAACGTCCCATTTATTCCGCCGCACCACTCCGAGTTCAACGCAAATGCGTCCATTATTTAATACGCTGCTCCGCCAACCCTTGAGCTAACGTGTTTTATGCTTCTGTTTGTTGCGCTGGGAACTCATATAGTGCACGATCGACTACAAGCGTTCCATTTGAAAGTGGCATTTCATGAATTCCACAGCGGCCGGGTATCAAATTAGCAAAATCCCTGCTCATTACAGGTAAATTGGACGCCAGGCAGGGTAGTCGCCATTTCCAGCAGAAGCCGGAGGTGACATCCAAACCCAAACCGTCAAATCACTTTCAAGAAGTTGATACACCTGCGCGAACGACAAGCGAGACGGGATGGGGTCCAGGCCCGGGTGACTCTATTTTTCGCTTTCCAGCCCACAGCAGCCAAAAAATCCTTCGCCCATCCTGAGCTCGTTCATCTCGTCTTCATCCGCATTCCTCATCATAATCCGATGTCGACTTAGCTTTTAATTAACGGTTCCGATGAATTGGACGATTGCAGTTCATTGCAGATCGGCGGTTGTTCCCGAAACACACGAAGGTTGATGCATAGATTGAAAACACCGCGACAGAATGATAATGATGCGGCAGAGAACGCCAGCAGAAAGATGAATATGTTTCCTCTAATAATTAAATAATCGTACAATGTAAGTACGCGCTGCGAGACCATCCAAATAGTGTGAGTACTGTGAATGCGTCCATGGAAGAAACCTTCCATAAGTCGAGTCGCGAGTGATATGTAGCGTAGTACCGGATGTATTACGAGTACTTATGTAAGTAAGTGATCGTCCATTTTACAAACCGATATGAGGATTTTGCGACCTCTCTCATTCCTTGTTCCATTTTTCGTGCCTGGTAAAATAGTGGCTGTGTTGAATGCTTTTTAAAAACTTTCACTACGATTTTTGTGATATATTAGTGGCGGTACCCCCCATCGAAATCTGGAGGTCGCCTGTTCGACTCCCCTCATCCGCATTTCTTTTAAATCCTTCATTTCCCCTTTCTCCTTATTACTTTTTATTTTTAGCCAACTCTATGACTGCTCGTATCGCGTGGTAAGTCATGGATGATTAAGAAAGTGAGAGCGCTGATGAAGCAAAGCAGCATCTAAGGTCAGGTTGGTCAGCACGGACCACCGTCGAGCCACGGTTTCTCCCTAGTCCCATCATCATAACAATATTCTGCCTTGCTAACAGGTCCCTTCTTTCCTGTGCAATTAAAGTGGGGTGTTGGAATTCTGGGCTTCCTTGAAACTCCAGATGCTCCACGGTTGTAACGGAGAAGGCGTGTTTCTGCCGTGATTTTCCCTTCGGTTACTCACCCTGCCAACACTAGCTGGATCTGTTCGCTGTGCCCAACTACCAGTCTATCTTGGTCATGGCTGTGTTCGCAAATTCAAAGTCGGTGATTTTCCTCCTCCAACGGTCGAATGGATGGTCAGACATATGAGGTATTCTTCTCCCTCGGAATAGTATTGTACACTTTGCGGCATCTAAATCTGGTTCGGACAAGGTTGGCCATGATGATCCACTCTGTCTATCTTAATGTGCGGCCGTACTCACCTACATGGCGGTAAGAGAAGAAAGCAAAACCCGCCACGTGTTCGCATCTGCCGAAGAAGAGCGGTCGAGACAGCGGCAATACCCGGACGGCAATCGCCCGGCTTGGAGGGCACAGCCCCTGCTCGGATATCACCGATCCCGCACCTCCCTAGAATTTAACCATGTATGCAGGCCGGGATATCTTTGATAGTTGTTTGAGTGTGGGATTATACAAAACCTGACTGGCAGGTATGTGGCCCCAGCTACCACCCGACGAGAGTGTTTGGCAGTACTGAAATGTGATTATCTAGGATGGTAAACATACGACATACAAAACTCATAAGTACGAAGTTCCTGCCGGGCACTGCCACGGCCCCACACCCCAAGTTAGTTGTGTAACGGAACGTGTTCCAGGCCATATGCAGCGGCGGCCTGGAGGGTGTTGCGGAAGAAGCTGGTGTCCTCCACGCAGGAGGACCCGGAGGCGGAGACCGTGTAGCCGGGCATGCATTTGCGCACAGCGCAGCCGCCGGCGACGCACGCGACGTCCGCGACCTTGGCGATGGCGGTGCAGTCGGTGCCAGTAGGCTCGCCCGTGAGGGACGAAACGATGCCGGCGGGGCACCCACCGCCTGCGAAGCGAACAAAGAAGTCAGAAAAAAAGGGGGAGTACAGGGGAAGATGGAAGCTCACAGCTCTCGAGGTCGTTGTGCGTGTCGACGCACTCCCAATCGCGGGGGCCGCCGCCGGAGACGCCGCACGCAGTCCAGCCGGCCTTGCAGCTCTTCTGCACGCGGTGGCCCCAGTAGTCGGCGTCGCGCTTGGTGGGGTTCGAGACGGTGCCGGTGGGGCAGGACTGCTTGCACTGGCCGTTGCAGTCCTTGTACCCGCTCTGGCACGTGTAGCCGCAGAGGGACTGGCGTGAGCATTGGGGGTGCGAGTTCGACGGGTGCTGGCAGGTCTTCTTGTCTTTGTCTGCGCAGCTATTGATCTAAGGGAATACGTCAGTTGAGAGGCTTGGCGAAGAGAGTAAGAATAATGCGCACTTGGTTCGTGAGGGCGTGAACCACGTTGTCGCTTCCGTACTTGTTGTACGCGGTGCGGAGGGTACCGGTAGAGGCTGCTATAAGTTCCTGCAAGGTGCTCGTGCATGAGCAGATTTCCGCTGGAAAGGGGTGTCAGTTAGTCGTGCGAGGATGGAAACTCGGGATCCAGACGTACCCCCAAAATTGTATTTGGAACCGCCGACTACGATGTAGTCAATGCAGCCACAGACATCGTTCGAGACGGTAGGTGTTCCGCGGGAAACGAGGCCTTCGATGACGGAGGCACGGGTGAGAGTGGCGAGAGTAACGAGAGTGAGGGAGGCGATGGAAGCCGACGTGAAACGCATTATTGGAAAGAATTAATGTGGGTGGGGAGGACGGAGGGGGAAGGAATGAGACGACATGCCTGTCATCTCGCGCTTTTAAATGAAAGGATGCCGCGGCGATCATGGAAGTTAGGAGATTCATTTAGGAGTGAAGGTGAACAATGAATCGGGAGCTCGATATATTTCCGCAGAGCAGTGTAGATCGGTTCCATTTATATGGCCGGGACGAAGGATAATCTTTGTTGTCCAGCCCATCGTTCTTCCTGCCTATCGGAAACCAGACTAACAGTTTAACAAAATGACCGACAATCATTGGGAACTTTGCTGCCCAAGTTGAACGGGCCTCTTATCTACACACTGTAGCCAAGATTGTCTAGTCGATCGAGTTCGACTCTGCGTCAAGATCGATTTAGGGGACTCTTTTGGAGGAGCGTCATAATTCATTCCCCAGATGGTTTATTTCCGGAGAGCAGTGTAGATCGGTCTCATATATATGGTCGAACAATTCAACGACGCGGCATTATCGCGGATATAATTAGCGGATATAATTAGTAGTCCGAGTATAGCATTGCGTACATGGCAGTGTTCAAACCTCCTGAAATTAACGAGATGAATGGAAATTTCTAGCATTCAAGCGTTTTCAAGTTTCGGAGTCTCCGTACGCAAAGCTAAAAAATAAACGACATCCGATCCGACTTGACGCCGTCCTGTACTGAGTCGCAAGCCAGAGTTAATCGAAATCATAAATCAAAATCCCGTAGAGTCCAACTGCGCGAAGTATTTACGTACGTGGATGCAGCTTGGAGGAATAACGAGGTCGCGACGTGGAGGAAAGGAGGAAAATGTGGCGGTGCAGATTGATTGCCGATATCCTCTTCTCCCGGGCCGCACTTCTCCGACAGTCCGACTGGGAAAACACCGGCCTCAATCCTCTGGAACGCTGTCTGGATAGGATGCGAAGAGCTGAGGCCATTTCAAGACTCATTATCTTCTGAGTTGTCTCTGAGGAAAAAAAGACGACCTCAGCGGCTCCGCCGATAAAAGTGAGACCCTAGTTGTCTGGCACTCATTTTCCACGATTCGGTCTTTGAAATTCGTCGGTTTTGGTGCTGCCACTCTCAGAATTTCCGCTGGCAGATTCTGCTCCCGTCTTGGCTCTGGATCTTGGGCCCGAGTTTCTTTCAAGCGGTATCGACGCAGTTCCAGACCCATTATGTCCGCGTCGAGCTTGAATGCGTTACATCTGAGCGGTTATTCATCCTGGATCTTGTTGGAGGCCTTCTCTCGTCCTCGAAACTACTCTTGATCTTGACCGTAAATATTTCACCGTTAGAGGCCATTTTAATGCACCCTCCTTATATTCAACTGAATATTGGACCTTTTAATAAAGCCTTGTACTGACCCGGCGGGCCATCAGCCCCATATGCACCGTATGCGAAGCCGTCACACCCGGTTCGCCAGTTCGAATCGCTTCTCCGTCCCCGGTGTATAGTTGGCGTAGATTCTTGCGTGAGTTGGGCGCCAACTTTGGACATCACTCGGCGGCGAGCCGCTGTTCTCAAGATCCTGACGAAAATATCAACATTGGAATAGAACATCTCGGTCGAGACAAGCGGCGAACCAAGATAATGCCAATCAAAAAGAAATCCATCAATATCGAACGGGCGTTCAATGGGCCTTAGACCCAACTCTGAGCGGATTCGGTTACCCCTTCCCGGTCCTGTTCAACCAGGTATTGGTGGAGGCGGGAAGATGCGACTGCTGTGCCTGTTGACTTGGAATTCTTTGGGCTTCAAGTTCTCGGGGACACATTTCTAACATTTTAGACTCAACTTTAATCCAGGTTTCCATGTAGTTTTCGGATTTCCTCCTCCTTAGGAGGATAGCCAAACACGTGCTTGAATAATTACCCTCTTTTTCCCCTTTCACTGCGCACGGATGGATTCTTTGGAGAAGAACAAATCGGTCTTTCTGCTGTTACTCTGCCGCTCCCTTATATAGTTACTTGTTACGCGAAGCGACTTGAGTCAGTATATCGAGGTAAGTGACAATGTTTCCATCCTTCCTCCCCGTGCCAATC